TCACGCATTCAAACTTATAACTAGGTATACCTATCGATAGAGTGCCAACGAGCAAATCATGCGTATTTTGCTTAAGAACAAAATTCCTTTTTGTTTTCCCATTTGACCGTTTCTTGGTCCCTTCCTGTTGCAAGGATTATTTTCTTGAAAGGTTCTCAGATTCAGTCTGGTGGCTTTACAAACCTGCTATGTAAAAATGTGGAGTGCCTTGAAAGAATAAAGTCAGCTTTGCAGAGGAAGCGATCGGGAATATTATTAAGTCCAGCTACAAATCTACTGTCGGTTCGGTTTCACATTGTTGATAAATATTTGCACAGTTTAATCATTTAAACCTCCTTTCAAATTTCCCGAGGCTCTTTGTTATCGGCTTGAAACTAATGATTCGCTGGGCCATCTGAAATGTTTCCAAGGACATGCGATGTACGGCACGTCGGTATTTAATTTTAGTTCATTATTTTTATACTGAACTCGGCCACGTTTCGAAAAAAATGGCGTTGTTTTCTTTTCCTTTGTCGTTCGCTTTAGGCTTGTTATTCGTTTTTGCTCTCATTGTTGTTGTTTGCTGGTTAGATTTTTTCCCCAACACCAGATTTTCCAACAGAAGCGATCGAATTCTTCGTGTCAAGCTTTCCTTATCTCCTCCTGTAATCTGATCCTTTTTAGTGGTGAGAATATTGCTTGCTGCACATAGAACACTTTTGCTGTTTTACAAACTTCCCTTCGTTAAAACTTAACATTATAGCCCCTAAAATTAGTAGAATATATCAAGTGCTCATGTCTCTTGAATGCGGTGGCCGGGTAAAAAAGTTAGCTAAATAAACACAGGAAGTCGCGACGGCGGGAAGTGTGTGAAATTTTGTTTGTTATTCAACTTGAGCCCGTGCGCCAGGTACTGCCTTTTGATTGGTTCACAACTGACCGCTTGGTCTCAGGGGAATCTACATTACATTGGGTTACACTTTTTTCAGCTCGATCGAGAATTTTTCTGCCTATTGCCCAGTCTTGCGCGGCTCTATTCTGCTGCCGCCTCGCCATCCGAGCGTCTTCGCTCGGATGGCTCGTTGGCAAAAAGTAGCAATGTTGGAAAATTTGCCTGGTGTATAGTTTTAGTCACAGCGTCGAGTTGAAAATTGCATGGTTCTACTATGTAACTTTGATGAAGCCAGTCGAAAATACGCAGCGAGCAAGGTCAAATAAAAGAGTTGAGTTTAAAAGCTAAACGACGAGCGTAAAAACGTTTTCCAAAATCTAAAGGAAGAGTGTAAAATTCTGATTTCAACTGTAAAATTCAAGTACCGAGGTTAGAAATTTAAATGATGAATTTAAAATTCAAACCATGAATTTTAGCGGGGATTTTACGCCATACAGTTGATGGTAGTGTTCGTCTTGTGATAGCCGTAACGAAGTTTGGTTTACAACAGAAGATGTGAGCATTATTGATCAAACCCAGCGAGGGTGGGCACTCCCTTACTTGGCCTAGCCAGGTATGCATGCGTCATTTTTTGAACAGGGTATACCGGTTTTCAAGGTCAATTGAGTCTTAAACAGAGAATACAATTTCACGATTTAGAGTCTTCAACAGGGTATCTTTTTGGACCGGAAGCCTTCAATGAAAAGAGTGTGAAGTCAGAATGGCAATGAGCAGTCTAAATGAGCGATACCAACAATATATTTTTTCTAAAAAATCATATTCCATGGTCTTAGTTTAAAAAAATACTTTATTCTGTCTGCGAAACGAAATGAATCAGGGTCATGAAATTAGGCTTTTGCCTTAAACAAGGAAGCGAAAAAAGGTCAGGGTTTGAATGGCTCGGCGGTACACCCCTACCCAAACTTCCATTGAATGCCCCCCAAGGCTAATCAAAGTCTAAATATTTCAGCAATCAAGCCTAAACAGACATTTGTGAGTAGGATACTAACTGTAGTTTTACTCCTGAAGTGTTGACCCAATTTTGTGACAAAAAGCTAGGAAAAACAAATAAAATGGTAAAAGAAACTCAGTGTTCAATCACTGAAGACTGAGAATAACAAGTTGAAGAGAAAGGGTGATTATAATGATTTACCCGACTTAATAACGGAAATCTCTTAAACTTGGTAACTCGGCTCCTCATGGTTGCAATTTTTTATTTTACAATATACATGATTGTGAACTTGACTTAATTTTCTTTTTTTCTTTTTCTCTACATGTAGTCTTCTTAACTTGCTCTTTCATACATTTGCATATAATGTCCCTTTAACCACTGCTCGCCTCCACTACCTATCTGGTAGGCTGCGGGCAGTGGATATTCTTTGTTTGTAAAATCTGAAATAGTCAAAGTAGAGTTGTACAGTTAAAGGACGTCAACAATAACACATAAAATTTCTTGTCATCACACCCCGTGATTTCTTTTTATTTTCTGATTAATATTTATAACCAGACAGAGGAGCACGAGAGAGAGCGATTCCTTCTTCCACAATTAACAAATCATTCCACGTCTTGCAGCCTCTTCAAGATTCTTGATATCCGCTTGAAGTCGCTGTTTGTCGATGGTCGATTTCAGTTTCTGGAGTTCACTTTTTACGGTTAAAATTTCATTTCTTAATTCAGCTTTAATTTTTTTGGCAGAGTTCAACACGAAATGCCAGAGAATAAAAAAGAATGGGGCCTTCCACATGATTTACTACGGCTCTTTCTGTGACCCGGTCACATATATGTCTACAGCGAAGTTAAGAAGTAAACATAATTTAGGTTATAAACGGCAAATACAGAATTTCATTCCAACTTGATGCCGAATGCTCTCCTCTCAGTTGCTGTATTTCGACACGCCAACTGAAGGCAGAGCCTCTCATGATCAACAATATGTTAGAAAATGTTAAAGCTCCAGCAGCTCTGAATGAAATGTATTTTCTCATTCGACGTGGGGGTGGTTCTGTTTGTTGTTACAATCAAACCATCCCCCCTTCCCAATCACAGATCCTTCTACTTACCACAGATCCCAAATTTCACAATCTCCAGCAAATGAAATGTACTTCTCCACGCGAAAACTCTAATTCAAAATCGTATCATTACCCCCATGATTGAAAATATATTTTCCACTGTTATTTTAGCTTCACATTCTTTCTTACAGTTTGTCGCCTTTTGGTGTCGCAGTGCGTTTATCGAAGCTTTCGATTGGTTCTTTTTACCTATTTAAGATGCTGTTTTCAGTTTGTTCTCTCTCTCTCGCTTGCGACCTTAGCTGTTTTCTACTTCGGACGTTTAAGATCTGGCCCCACCCACCCTCCCTTTTCTCAGGTTTCTACGGGTGGTTTTTCATTTTATCTGCTTTTGATACTGCTTTTATTTCATCTGTTTTCAGGCGGTAGAGATGCTTACGTGGACCGCGCGAGGTGTTTTAAATATCACAAACTTGGCCACTGGGCAAGAGAATGCACTGCCTCCTGGAATAGCCCACGAAGTGCTTATTGCGGAACCACATTCACCCCAGGATACTCATACAGCCCCTACAGACCCAGTCACGGAGCCCACACTCAACCCGGTGCAAAGCAGTGATGTTTTTGATGAGGAGGTTGCTGATATCGCTTTGGTACATTGCGATAGCGAATTGTTTGAGTTTGAGTTACGTACTAGTCCGCCGTGTGTCAACGTCAAGGGAAATCTTCGTAGAAACTTCGAAATTTGGAAGCATATTGGAACCCCTAGTTTTATTCTTAACGTTATAGAAAGGGGATATTTGTTACCTCTCGTTAGTTTTCCGGAACCAGTGGTTTTCAAAAACAGTAGATCGTCTCTTTCACATGCCGAGTTTCTTGAGGAAGCTATTCAAGACTTAGCAGAGTCGGGTCGTGTTGTGGAAACCAATGTACCCCCCGGGTGGTCAACCCCTTGTCCGTATCTGTTCAAGCCAATGGAAAGAAGAGGCTCATTCTTGATTTAAGATACGTCAACAAGTTTCTTCGTAAGGTGCATGTTAAATACGAAGACTGGAAAACAGCTATGTCTTACTTCTCGCGAGGTGCATATAAGTTTTCCTTCCACCTGAAAAGTGGGTACCACCACGTTCAAATTTTTGAGGGCCATCAAACATATTTTGGTTTTTCCTGGAAGCATTCCAATCAAGTGAAGTTTTATGTGTTTACAGTTTTACTTTTCGGATTATCGTCCGCCCCTCACGTGTTCACAAAAGTTCTTAAGCCTCTTGAGAAACATTGGAGGCAACAAGGCATTTGCGTTGCTGTTTTTCTTGACGAAGGATGGGGTATAGAAAACGATTCTCAAGTGTGCAGTATTGTAGCGGATGCCGTTAAAACTGACCTTTTTAAGGCGGGTTTCGTTACTAACGAGGATAAGTCAGTGTGGATACCTTGCCAGAGGCTTGATTGGTTGGGTATCACTCGGCATAGCGCTCGTGGAACCATTGAAATTGTGGATAGGAAGGTTGCCAAAATAACTAGTACCATTGACAGTATTATCGACTCCGATTTTGTTCTTTCTGACAGAAGATTGGCCACTTTTACAGGGCAGATAATTTCTACAGCACCTGTTTCCGGGAACATTTCTAGGATCATGACTAGGCACTGCATTATGTCTACATTAAGCGCGCAGCACTGGGAGGCGAAAGTTAAGATGGATCCCTATTGCATTGAGGAGCTATATTTTTTGGAAAAACAACCTAAATTATATCAAAGTGCGCGATTGTTATCTCTTTAATAAGCCACAGCGTTTCGCTTACTCCGATGCCAGCACTACAGGGTGCGGTTCAGTTATTACCCTTAATGAGGATTGTGTGTGTCACAAGCTTTGGGAGCCTTCAGAATGTTCTAAGAGCTCTACTTGGAGAGAACTTGCAGCCATTGATTTTTCTCTAGAGTCTTTTGCGCCAATTTGAAAAGGTTCACTTGTCAAGTGGTTCACTGATAGCCGGACGGCGGCTAGAATTATAGAAGTCGGAAGCATGAAATTGGATTTGCACAGGCTTGCTATTAAGATTTTTCAGTTTTGTCCGGAGCACTCTATTCGTTTGGAGGTGCAGTGGATCCCACGAACTGAAAATGAGAAGGCGGATTACATCAGTCGTCTTATAGACTTTGATGATTGGCAAATCACGCGTGATCTCTTTCTAAGTTTGGAAGAGTTATGGGGCCCGCATACAGTTGACCGTTTTGCCAATTATTATACAGCTAAGCTTCCTAGATTCTTTTCGCGTTTCTGGAATCCGGGTGCGTCAGGAATAGACTTCTTTGCCCAAGAGTTAAGTTCCGAGAATTCAGCTGAGAATTGTTTAGTGACCCCCTTTAGTGGTTCCTCCAGTTTCTCTTGTTGCTCGCGTTATCCATTATCTGAGCCTACAGAAAGCGATGGCTACTCTTGTAGTACCATTATGGCCTTCGTCCAGTTTTTGGCCTCTTCTGACGGGCAAATATCGGTCGCTCATTAAAGGATGCTTTACGCTGAATGCCTCCCAAGCTCTCACCCTCCTCGTTTTACAGGGAGGTTGTCGCGCTTAGATTCGAATTTTTTGTAGGGATTATCCAGCTTTATTGCCCTTCGAGTAGGTCATTCTGAACTAGCTTTTTAGTGCTGGTATTTGCAGGATTTGACACTGGTCATTAGTTGCATGGACAGCTGTGTCCAGGTAAATGACACTGGTCATGTGAAGGGACGACTGCGTCCGTTGGAGAAGATTTCTGTCGTTTTAGATTTTTGTTAGTAGAACGAGGTTTCGAGTTCTCTCGAGAATGGGAGACCTGTTCACGTATGAAAAATTGTGTCCTTTTTTGACACTGGTTCGCGAATCGTAACTCAACCTGCCATTCTGGCCAAGGTTTTTCACAAGGTTGAACTGCGTTGTTCTTGTTGGTGTAGGTTATTTACCTTTCTTAATCAAGGCTGTAACTTTGTTTTTGTTGATTGTTAGGTTATTTTAGTGTCCGAGCTCAGACTGTGTCCTAGACAGGGTGTTTCCTACTTTATATTCGTTTGTCCGTAGTTTATGGGACCTTTTGGGGGATTTAAATGATCTACGAGAGCAAGTCGCGTTTGGGGTATATATGCAGTTATTACGCGTTTGTTATTAAGTTTTCTTTGTAGGTTATTCGCTAGGCCTTTGTTTAGGAGCTACTTTGCATGCCTATTTTGCCCCGGGGAGGTCGGTGTAGTTTCCTTCTATTATGCTCCCTGCAGACATTGCGTCATAGGCATAGAGCCTGTTGTTGCAAAATTTTGGTGATATAATTTTTTCTTGCAGGTCGTAGTTGCAAGTAAAGCATGGATGGTGCTCCCTCCTGCTATTAGGCCGGATTTTCATTCTTTATTTAAATGTTTACCTAGTTCTAGGGCGGATTCTACTGTGAAGAAATATCTTAAGGAAATCAACAAGTTTTTACTGCGGTGTAGGACTCGGAAAATTGCGCTACAGTTGCCATTTTCTCCTTTTGTTGTTCATCTGTTTGGCTTAGATCAACAGCTTACGTCCCCGGCCGCAATGGTTTTGGTCCATGCTGCGCTGAAATGGTACCATTCCTTTGTTCCTGATGATGGTCCCAATCCTTTGGATAACGCTTGTTGCAAGAATTTGATTGAGTGCGCCAAGAGGACAAGGAGCAATCCAGTTCACAAGAAAAAGCCCGTGGACCCTGCTATCATTAGAAGCATTATTGACAGACATGGCGCTGAGGAAGCATCTTTAAAGGACTTACGTATTGCCGCAATACGTTCTTTAGGTTTTGCAGGATTGTTTCGTTTTAACGAGTTGGCTAATATTCAGCAAAAACACCTCACGTTTTGCGATGGTTTTGTTAAAATTTTTGTGCCAAGGAGTAAAACGGATGTATATAGAGAGGGCAATTATGTTTATATCGCTAAGTTAGGGAACAAATACTGCCCAGTAGCTATCTTACGTAGGTATATTGAAGCAGCCAATTTGGATCTGTCTAGTCATTTGCCTTTATTCAGGCCATTAACGAAGAACAAGTCGGGTCATACTCTTAGGAATGGCAAGTTATCCTATACTCGCTGCAGGGAAATATCAAAATATTTAAGACTACTTTGAAAGATTTGGGCTATGACCCCAAGGAATATGGCCTACATAGTCTGCGTTCAGGGGATGCTACAGCTGCTATTAGTAATAACGCTTCCAATATGAGCCGTTTTCTGAGAGGTTGTTAAAACTTCATGGGCGCTGGAAAACAGACGAAGCGAAAGACATGTACGTGTTAGAGACAGAATGTAATCGTTTAAGTGTGACGAAATATTTAGGTATTTAGCTCATATTTAAATATCTTATCTGTTTTTCCTTTACCATTATGCTGTAAGATTCCTTTTCATTAACGTGTTAGGGTTCGCACGCGATCCACCCATATCTGACTTCGCCTGGTTTTTGCGGTTATTTAAGCGGTAAATAATTTACGTTCGTTTGAGCGAAGCGAATTAGAACGTAAAAACCTTTCCCTGTGAGCCAAGCACTAGCATGAGCCAACCCACAAAAATGTTGAAAAGATCACGCGATCCTTCGGGGCATTTCCGGGTATCTGACGACTTGTAAAAAGTTGCACATTACTTACCTCTCCTTCGGCGGCTATCAAACAACGCAGAGTTTAGCGTTTGACTATCACAAGTTAGTTGATATCTCTTTACTCAATTAACAAGCAACTGAGTATTTGACTCATCTTGTTGCGGCAACAAAATTACTGAGTTTTGTGAAATGCCGCCTGCTGCTTTACACCTCTGAATTACGCAAGACTATCACGAAAAAAAGTCCCCACTGATCTTTATCCTCTTTTTGCAAAGGCCAACGTGCAGCTCACGTGATATGAGTAACTGCACAAGGTCGGTGCACAGTTTCAGTTTCGCGATTCAAGCTGTAGCAAGTACAGTTTGGGGGCTCTCTCTTTTTTTTAATACCGTTGATGGCAGTGTTCGCCTTGTGATAGTGCCTTAACGAGCTTTGGTTTATAACAGAAAATCAAACCGAGAAGCATCTTTTTTATCAAACCCAGGGAGGGGGGCACTCCCTTATTTTGTCTAACCGAGTAAGTGTTGCTGAACAGGGTATACCGGTTTTCAAAACTTGAGTCTTAAACAGGGTATACGATTTCACCATATGCGTTTGACCAGGGTGTTTTTTGGGACCGGAGGCCGGAAGTCTTATACAGAGCGTAAAGTAAGGCAACGAGCAGCCTAAATCAGTGGTACCAACAATATATATCATATATATGTATTTTTAAATCTTATTTCACAGTACTAGTTAAAAAAAAACTTTATTGTTTCTGCGAAACGACATGAATCAGTATCATGAAATTAGAGATCTTTGGTCTTAAACAAGGAAGCGAAATTAGCGATGTCAAGCCGTTTACCAAAACTATTCAAACTTCCATTGAATGTTCCCCAAGGGTGATCAAAGTCTAACTATTTCAGCAATCAAGTTGAATCAACCCTAAATAATCCATTGTTGTGTTAAGAACTTGATAGACCACAATGTGCGACACAGATCCTATTTAAAAAATCAAAACTTCGTACACGGTACCAGTGTAGTTACGTTAAAGGACATCAACAACAACACATAAAATATTTTGTGGTAATACCCAATGATGTCGATCCTTTTTTTTAACAGATTTATAACCAGCCAGAGGTGCACGAAAGATAATGATTCCTTTCCTCGACAATTACAAGATATCGATTAGGAAATAATTCTAGGTCTTCTTGCAGCGTCTGAATAACCCGCTTAATCTCCGCTTCCTTGAAGTCGTTGTTCTTTGACGAGATGGACTAGTACGTCAATTTCAGGAGTTCGTATTTACGGCTAAAATTTAATTTCTTCCTTTAGTTTTAAGTTTTCTTTTTGTAGAGTTTTAATTTGAATTATTTTACGATCTAAAGCAGCTGCCTTTCACTTAACGAGATTTTCACTGAAGTCAGCAACATGTACGGAGCCCAAAAACATGTCCGATTCAGTTCATGCTTTTCGACAGGAACAATGTTCATTTGACGGTATGAAATGAAAAACATGCACCGAACATGACTTGATTGTGTAAACCTCAAGGATCTTTAACAAAATGAAATAAACATCAAAGCAGTTGAAATAAGCAGGCGGGAAAGCAGTGCTGATATTGGCAGCAAAGAATAATTTCAACGGTGTGGTAAGGGAGGCCGATTTTGAGACGAGTACCTGGTTTTGATCCCTGTTGATGTAAACGTGTACATAAAGTTGCTTCCGAGGAAGTAATAAATGATTCCTTGTATCGCTCCATTCCAAAAATGAGGCTTTTCAAAATCGTATCTCAACAATTGAAACCTTAGCGAAACTGATTAAAAATACTAAGTGCTTGAATTATAGGTAGTCGTTAAGCGCTCGAAAATTGCACATTTCTCGATGGAAGAGGAACAACAAGTTTGCCTTCTTTTTCAAAAGTCGCTAAAACGTGACGTTACTCTGGTAGGCTACTTATCAGAGAGCCAATATTACCACTACTACAAATAACATTCTCCCTGGATACAAGGAGGACGTTTACACACAGCATACTAGGTATTCTTTGGTCGTTCTAAAAAGGCGCTACCTGACTGAACGGCATTTGCTGAGCAGCTACACTCCAACATGTTAAATTAATTGTTAACACTTTAATATTTATGAGAACGTAAATAACATCAACTTCAGGGTGGGAAATTTTTAAATCTCTCTAATAAGGGGTTGTTTTCCGGTCGATATTTCTATTTGTCCAGTCGACAATAAGTTCGGTTCATCCGGCGTAAGCCTCATTCCATTCGACAACTGATCACATGTTGCAGAGCCACGTACTTACAACAATCAATCGAGGCCAAAACCTTCGGCAACTCACCGCCAAACCGCTTCAACACTAAATGCTACTGAGGGAATAAAAAAGAATGGGAGCCTTCTAAATGATTTTCTACGGCTGTTTCGGTGACCTGGTCACGGTCTATGGCAAAGTTAATAACATAAAAGTTTGAAGAGGAAACGAAAACGACTTTGTTTAGCCTTAGGACTCGACAACTCAAGGCAAATCCCCTCAACAACATGCTACAAGTTCCATCAGCTCTCAATGAGATGCATTTCTTCATTCGAAAACTCTCTTTAATTGTCGTTACAATGAACCCCATCACTAAAACATAACACAATTTTCTCAATGTTCAGCTAATGAATGCATTTTCCACGCGACAACTCTAATTTTGAATCGTGTCATATCCGCATCAATTAATAGCTCTTTCCCGGCAGAAGCGAACACATAAATGTTGCAAAAATCACGCGATCCTTCGCGAAATTTCCTGATATCACTATACTTGTAAAAACTTGAATATCTCTTACCTCTTCTTCTACTACTTTTGCTGTGGTTATCACAAGTTGAAATCCTTTTGTTCAATGAACAAGCATCTGAAAAGTTTACTCCACTTGAACTCCGCAAGACTATCAAGAGAAAAAAACTCTGTTAATGTAAGCCAACAACTTTATCCGCTTTCATTTAATCTATTTTTTTTTTCAAAGGTCGACGTCAAGAGCGCGTGATATAAGTAACTGCACAAAGTCAGTGGTTTAGTTTCAGTTTCACAGTTCACGCGATAGTAGCACCATTCGGGGGTTCTCTCCTTTTCTTTCCACTGCCATGTTCAGTACAGTTGAGGGTAGTGTTCGTCTTATGATCGCAGTAACGAAGTTACTGTTTGGTTTATAATTTACAGAAGATGTGGGCATTATTGATCAAATCCGGGGGAGGGGTACGGGGTAGCCACTCTTTTATTTGGCCTAGCCGGGTACAACAAAACTCATTCAAGGCCGATTAAAAGCCTTTATATGACGCCGGGCAGTACGTCAATGGTCCCTAGAAGCATTCCAAAGAGTCCAAATTTAAAATGACGCAAATTTTAGAACATTTATTCAGTAAACTGACTTCGCGAAGTTTCAAACCAGTGTCATTTCAGTCTAGAAATTTGTAAGTTGAGTGAGCTGCAGCGAAAGAGTGCCTGGTTAAGGCTTACATAAAAACTTAAATAGTTAGCAAAACACTACTTTTTTGCTCGCCTCCACTATATAGCTATCTGGTGACTGCAGGCATGTTCTTTGTTTGTAAAATTTGAAATAGTCAACAGTCAACAGTAGTGTTGTTCCGTTAATTAAAGGACGTCAACAATAATACACAAAATGTCTTGAGATCACACCCAGTGATTTCTTTTTTTTTTTTTATTCCTGATTTATAACCAGACAGAGGAGCACGACCGAGAGCGATTCTTCTTCCATAGTTAACAAATCATTCCACGTCTTCAGCGGCCTCTCCAAGATTCTTGATGTCCGCTTGCAGTCGCTGTTTGTCGATGATCAATTTCTGTTTCTGGAGTTCACTGTTGACGCTAAAATTTCATTTCTTCAGTTTTAAGTTTTTGCAGAGTTCAACACGAAATGCCAGAGAATACAAAAAATGGGGTCTTCCACATGATTTACTACGGCTCTTTCGGTGACCCGGTCACATATATGTCTACAGTGAATTTAGGATATAAAGGCCGGCAAGTACAGAATTTCATTCCAACTTGATGCCGAATGCTCACCGCTCAGTTGCTGTGTGTCGACACGCCAACTGAAGGCAGAGCCTCTCAACAATATGTTACAAAATTCAAGCTCCAGCAGCTCCAGCGGGTGGTTCTGTTTGTCGTTGCAATGAAACCATCCCCCCTTCCCAATCACAGAGCCTTCTACTTACAACAGATCACAAATTTCACAATCTCCAGCAAATAAAATGTACTTTTTCATGCGACAACTCTAATTCAAAGTCGTATCATAGCCCCCATGATTGCAAAACCCTTTCCCAGCATGAGCGAACACAATAAAATGTTGCAAAAATCACGCGATCCTTCGGGGCATTTCCGGGTATCTGACGACTTGTAAAAAGTTGCACATTAGTTACCTCTTCTTCGGCGGCTATCAAACAACGCGGAGTTTCGCGTTTGACTATCACAAGTTAGTTGATATCTCTTTACTCAATTAACAAGCAACTGAATATTTGACTCATCTTGTTATCGCAACAAAATTACTGAGTTTTGTGAATTGCCGCCCGCTGCTTTACACCTCTGAATTTGGCAAGACTATCACGAAAAAAAATCCCCACTGATCTTTATCCTTTTTTTTGCAAAGGCCAACGTGTAGCTCACGTGATATGAGTAACTTCACAAGGTCAGTACACAGTTTCAATTTCGCGGATCAAGCTGCAGCAAATACAGTTTTGGGGGCTCTCTCTTTTTCTTCAATACCGTTGATGGCAGTGTT